AATCATTCTGTTGTGCTATCAAATACTAAGCCTTATTCATTTTTTTCTTTTCATTTTGTTTTGTTTTTTTTTTAATGCATTAGCCATCCCACCTCCCCTCTACTCTTTCCTGCTACCCTTCCCAGCCTCTGGTATCCATTCTTCTACTTTCTATCTCCATGGATGCAATTGTTTTGATTTTAAATCTTACAAATAAGTGAAAACATGATATTTGTCTTTCTCTGCCTGACTTATTTCAGTTAACCTAATGACCTTCAGTTCTGTCCATGTTGTTGCAAATGATAGGTTCTCATTCTTTTTTGTGGCTGAATAGTACTCGGTTGAATTATATACCACATTTTCTCTATTCATTCATTTATTGATGGACACATAGGTTACTTCCAAATCTTGGCTATTGTGAACACTGCTGCAACAAACATGGGAGTGCAGATACCTCTTTGGTATACTGATGTTCTTTCTTTTGGATATATACCCAACAGTGGGATTGCTGGCTCATATTAGCTCAATTTTTAGTTTTTTGAGGAATCTCCAGACTGTTCTCCATAGTGGTATTACTAATTTACATTCCCACTAACAGTGTATAAGGGTTCCCTTTCTCCATATCCTCATAAGCATTTGCTGTTGTCTGTCTTCTGGCAATAACTATAAGCCATTTTAACTAGGGTGAGATGGTATCACATTGTAGTTTTGATTTGCATTTCTCTGATGATCAGTGTTATTGAACACCTTTTCATATTCATATTTTGACTGAAACATTAGACTGCTTTGGAATCAGGATTTAATGACTCTTGAATTGTGTGAAATAATAACTATTCACAGGAATAGTGCAACGTGAAATTTCAAGTTCTTAGGTTGTGCCATGTCTCATAATATGTTGTTGATTGCTGTCAATTCCTGTAGTACTTACATTTTTTTTTAAATTTACTGAGAATTATACTGAATTTTTAAAGAAGCATTTATATATAGTGTTGGAATAATTCTAATTCAAAGTACATATTTGTACACTCCCTCAAGCATAACAAAATGCTAACCTCTTTAAGAGTAACTTGGATTGAAAGATAAAATGCTGTTTACTTACACATTCGTAGCTTTGTTCTCTCAATGATTAAGAGCATTATTTTATTTTATTCTTCATCTTAAAGGAGAGTCTAAGTTTCAGCCAATGTGTAGAACATGTACCTCTTCTTTGGAAACGTATTCTCTGACCTAAATTAGGGTAAGTAGTTTTAAAAATGTTTAGATAATGGATATTTCAGGAAAGTGTATTAAACCTTTTCTTATTTTGTTTCTTTTTGAATTGTTATTGCAGATAGTGAAACACGTCATTAGGAAGAAGGAAAGAAAGAATATATATAGAATAAAAGAAATTAATTATGCCAGTACTTGGAATAAAGTTATAATTGTTGAGGGAAAAGGGTGCATTTATCACTACAGTCATACCTCAGAGCGATTGCAGGTTTAGTTCCAAACCATCATAGTAAAGCAAAGATCAAAATAAAGTGAGTCACATAAATTTTTTGGTTTCTCAGTGCATATAAAAGTCATGTTTACACTATGTTGTAGTATTTAAGTGTGTGCATTATGTTTAAAAGAACAATGTACATACCTTAATTAAAAAAAAAAAACAACAACCTTTCATACCAAAAAGTGTGAACAAATCTGAGCCTTTAGTGAGTTGTAATCTTTTTGCTGGTGGTGGGTTAGTCAGGATGGATTGCTGCTGACTGATCAGGGTGCTGGTTGCTGAAGGTTGGCTTGTCTCTAGCAATTTCTTCAAATAAGACAGCAGTGCAATTTGCTATATCAGTTGACTCTTCCTTTCATGGAAAGTTTCTCTGTAGCATGTGATTAGGTTTGACAGGATTTTACCCACAATGGAACTACTGCTTTCAAATTGAGTTTAGTTCTCAAACTCTGCTACTGCTTTATCAACTGAGTTTATGGAGTATTCTAAATTGTCATTTCAACATTGTTCGTAGCATCTTTACAAGGAGCAGGTTCCATCTCCAGAAACTACTTTGTTTACTTATCCATAGAAGCAACTTTTAATCCAGTCATACTTTTGCATAAAATTTCAACAATTAAGTCATGTCTTCCGGTTCCACTTCTAATTCTTGTTTTGTGACTGTTTTGACCCTGTCATCAGTTCTTTCCTCCACGGAAATACTGAAAACTCCTGCCAGTCATCCATGAGGTTTGAAATCATCTTCTTCCAAACTCCTGTTAATGTTGATATTTTTACTTCCTCTCGTGAATCATGATATACTGTTTGTGGCATCTAGAATGATGAATTCTTTCCAGAAGGTTTTCAATTGCCCAGATTCATCAGAATAATTACTATTTATGGCAGCTATAGCTTTAAAAAATGTGCTTCTTAAATAATAAGGCTTCAAAATCAGAATTACTTCTTGACCCATGAGCTGCAGAATGAATATTGTATTCATGAGCATGAAAACAACATTAATCTCCTTGTACATGTCTATCAGAGCTCTTGGGTGACCAGGCACATTGTCAATGAGCAGTCGTATTTTGAAAGGGATCTTTTTTTCTTAGCAGCAGGTCCACAGTGGGCCTAAAATATTCAATAAACCATACTGCAAATAGATATGGTGTCATCCAGGCATTTGTAGATCCTTTTCTAGAGCACAGAGTAGATTTAGCCTAACTCTTAAGGGCCCTAAGATTTATCAAATGGTCAATGAACATTGGCTTTAATTTAAAGTCACTAACTGCATTAGACCTTAACAGGATAGTCAACCTTCCTTTGAAGCCAGGCCCTGATTTCTCCTGTCTAGCTATGGAAGTCCTAAATGGCATCTTCTTCCAATACATTGAAAGAAGAAACTGTATACTGTTTTGTCTGTGTTGAAAATTTGTTGTTTAGTGTAGCCACCTTCATCAGTTATCTGAACTATTTTTGATAACTTGCTGCAGTTACTAGTAAGCACTCTCTGCTTCACTCTGCATGTTAATGTTAGAGAATCCTTTAAAAAAGAATGATAGAAATCAATGTCTGCTAGCTTTCATCTTTTCTTCTGCAGCTTTCTCACTGCTCTCTCTCATATTCATGAAATTGAAGAGAATTAGGGTCTTTCCCTGAATTAGACTGTGGTTTAAGGGGTTGTTGTAGCTGGTTTGATGTTCTATTTAGAACACTAATACTTTCTTCATATCGGTACTAAGGCTGTTTTACTTTCTCATAGTTCATGTGTTCATTGGAATAGCACTTTTAATTTTCTTTAGGAACTTTTCCTTTGCATTCAGAACTTGGCTGTTTGGTTCAGGAGGCCTAACTTTCGGCCTATCTTGATTTTAAAAGTGCCTTCCTCACTAAATCATTTCTAACTTTTGATTTCAGGTGAGAGGCATAGGACTCTTTCTTTCAATTCAACACTAAGAGGCCCATTGTAAGGCCATTAACTGACCTAATTTCAATATTGTTGTGTCTGAAGGTATTGGGAGGCTTGAGGGCTTGAGTAGAGAAGGGGAAAGATGGAGGAGTGGCTGATCTTTGGAGCAGTCAAAACACATTCGTTGATTATCTGTCTTAATAGGTATGGTTTGTGGTGCCTCAACATACAATGTAATTATAATAGTAATATCAAAGACCACTGATCACAGTTCACCATAGCAGATAGAATAATGAAAACATTTGAAATATTGTGAGAAGTATGATAATGTGACATAGAGACATAAAGACAGCATGTACTGTTGGAAAAAGTATTGTATCACACGTACATATAATAGACTTGCTTAACACAGGGTTACCACAAACGTTCATTTGTAAAAAAAAAAAAAAAAAAAAAAAAAGCAGTATCTGCAAAGCACAATAAAACAAAGCTCAATAAAAGGAGGTATGCCTGTATTTTCAGCTTGCTTGTGGAGTTTAATTCTTTTTAGGAAATTAGTTAACAGAATTGAAAAATGACTTGATTGAAAACTTCCTATTCTTAAGGTAAAAGTTTGCATTCTGTATTGGGGAAACTGATTCCATGTCAAAAACCTGTACTAGTCAGTTGTGTATTTGGGTATTGGGCTGAGTACAGTGATCACAAGCCCTGTTTTCTCGGTACAGTTCCTCTGTTTGCCTGTCATCTTGCCTTAATTATTTTTAGCCCTCATGTATTAGTTTTCTGTAACTTCTGTGCAAATTATCACAAAATTAATTGTTTAAAACTATACAGGTTTTTAATTCTATAGCTCTGTAGGTCAGAAGTCCAGTATGAGAGGTAGCATGCTAAAGTTCAAGTGTCAGAAAATCCGTTTTCTATGTATTCAGGTTTTTGGCAAAACTCAGTTCCTTGTGATTGTAGGACCCAGGTCCCCATTTTCTTGTTGTCTGTCAACTCAGGGCTGTTTCCAGCTTCTTTTGGGGGCCTATTATTTATGTATAAAGGTGCCACATGTTTTGTAGTATGACTGCTTACATCACTGTTTTACTTCTTTCTCACTAAAGCTTATTTTTCTCACATTTCTCAGTGTGTAGTAACAAGGTAACTGGCGAGTCCTGAGTTTGAAGCATTTAAATTTGTATTGCTGCTTGTGCTTGACTCTGTTCTTACACTATTACATTTGAAGAAGAGGAATTAAGTCAGACTTTTTTTCCTCCCTCTACCTTTAGACTTTATTTTATACTAAAGAATTAGCTGGGCATTACATTTATTTAAACAGCTGCTATAGAAACAAATAATTTTACTAGCCCAGCTGCCTATTAATAAAGTATTTGAATGTTTTAATTTCACTTTTTAGAAATTTTTTATTAGATTAGACTACAGTAATCAAAGACAACAATTATGTATTTTATGTGTATCTTATGGCTACATGACCATTTATGTCTATTCTTCAACTTAAATTTGAAGTCTGGAATTTCCCCAAAGTACAGAATATAATTTGTTTTCAAATGGATTAACTTGGTCTTTGGACAGCCTAAAAAGAAGACCAATTTGTGATTGCTTTGGCAGCATATATACTAAAATTGTATATATGTAAAATCGTAAACGTAATCCATCACATAAACAGAACCAAAGACAAAAACCACAGAGAAGATTAGCATGGCCTCTGTGCAAGGATGACACGCAAATTCGTGAAGCGTTCCATATTTCTAAAAAGTCCAGGTCCAGACAGGTCCACAGCCAAATTCTACCTGACGTACAAAGAGGTGCTGGTACCATTCCTTCTGAAATTATTCCAAACAATACAAAAAGAGGGAATCCTCCCTAACTCATTTTATGAGACCAACATCATCCTGATACCAAAACCTGGAAGAGATATGAAGAAAATTTCATGCCAATATCCATGATGTACATTGATGCAAAAATCTTCAATAAAATACTTCAAAAACTGATTGCAACAGCACTATCCATCACGATCAAGTCAGCTTCATCCCGGGGATGCAAGGCTGGTTCAACATATGCAAATCGTAAACGTAATCCATCACATAAACAGAACCAAAGACAAAAACCACATGATTATCTCAACAGATACAGAGAAGGCCTTTGACAAAATTCAACAGCCATTTATGGTAAAAACTCTTAATAAACTAGGTATCGATGGAATGTACCTCAAAATAAAAGTATATATGACAAACCCACAGCCAATATCAAACGGAATGGGCAAAAACTGGAAGCATTCCCTTTGAAAACTGGCACTAGACAAGGGTGCCCTCTCTCACCATTCCTGTTCAACATAGTATTGGAAGTTCTAGCCAGAGCAATCAAGCAAGAAAAAGAAATAAAGCGTATTCAATTGGAAAAAGAGGAAGTCAAATTGTCTCTATTTGCATACAATGATATGATTGTATATTTAGAAGACCCCATTGTCTCAGCCCAAAATCTCCCTAAGCTGACAAGCAACTTCAGCAAAGACTCAGGATACAAAATCAATGTGCAAAAATCACAAGCATTCATATACATCCATAACAGACAAACAGAGTCAAATCATGAGCAAACTCCCATTCACAATTGCTACAAAGAGAATAAAATACCTAGGAATACAACTAACAAAAGACGTGAAGTACCTCTTCAAAGAGAACTATAAACCACTGCTCAAGGAAATAAGAGAGAGGACAAAATCAGATAAAACATTCCATGCTCATGGTTGGGAAGAATCAATATTGCAAAGATGACCATACTACCCAAAGTAATTTATAGATTCAGTGCTATCCCCATCAAACTACCATTTACCTTCTTCACAGAACTGGCAAAAACATCTGTAAACTTCACATGTAACCAAAACAGAGCCCACATAGCCAAGACAATCCTAAACAAAAAGAACAAAGCTGGAGGCATCACACTACCTGACTTCAAACTATACTACAAGGCTACAGTAATCCAAACAGCATGGTTCTGGTACCAAAACAGAAGCCTTGGAAGTAATGCCACACACCTACAACCATCTGATCTTTGACAAATGGACAAAAGCAGTGGGGAAAGTATTCCTTGTTTAATAAATGGTGTTGGGATAACTGGCTAACCATGTGCAGAAAGCTGAAACTGGACCCCTTCCTTACACCTTATACAAAAATTAACTACAGATGGATTAAAGATTTAAATATAAGACCTAACACCATAAAATCCCTAGAAGAAAACCTAGGCAATACCATTTAGGACATAGGCATAGGCAAGGACTTCATAACTAAAACACCAAAAGCAATGGCAACAAAAGCTAAAATGGACAAATGGGATCCAATTAAACTTAAGAGCTTCTGCACAGCAAAAGAAACTATCATGAGAGTGAACTGGCAACCAACAGAATGGGAAAAAATTTTTGCAAGCTACCCATCTGACAAAGGGCTAATACCCAGAATCTACAAAGAACAACAAACAACCTCATCAAAAAGTAGGTGAAAGATATGAACAGACACTTCAAAAGAAGGCAGTTATGTGGCCAATAAACATATGAAAAAATGCTCATCATCACTGATCATTAGAGAAATGCAGATCAAAACCACATTGAGATTGATCTCTCACACCAGTTAGAATGGCGATCATTAAAAAATTTGGAGGCAACAGATGCTGGAGAAGATGTGGAGAAATAGGAACGCTTTTACGCTGTTGGTGGGAGTGTAAATTAGTTCAACCATTGTGGAAGACAGTGTGGCAATTCCTCAAGGATCTAGAAATAGAAATACCATTTGACCCAATAATCCCATTACTGGGTATATACCCAAAGGATTATAAATCCATCTATTATACAGACACATGCATATGTATGTTCATTGTGGCACTGTCTATAATAGTAAAGACTTGGAACCAACCCAAATGCCCATCAATGATAGACTGGATAGGGAAAATGTGGCACATTTACACCATGGAATACTATGCAGCCATAAAAAAAAGATGAGTTCATGTCCTTTGTAGGGACATGGATGAATTTGGAAACCATCATTTTCAGCAAACCAACACAAGAACAGAAAACCAAACACCGCATGTTCTCACTCATAAGCAGATGTTGAACAATGAGAACCCATGGACACAGGGAGGGGAACATCAAAGATTGGGGTCTGTTGTGCGGTGGGGGATTAAGGGAGGGATAGCAGGGGTTGGAGAGATTGATGAGTGATAACATTAGGAGAAATACCTAATGTGGGTGATGGGGGGGATGGAGGCAGCAAACCACCATGGCATGTGTATACCTATGTAACAATCCTGCAAGATCTGCACATGTACCCCAGAACTTAAAAATAATAAAAGACCAATTTGTGATTTTCTGTTCTATATTTTATTTTAATAAACTAAATCAATATTTGATACTTGCTAATTTATACACACTTGTGTCCTTAATAATCCGTCTGCATTTTGATTTATTAATGCATAAGATAAAACTAATGCTACATACTTCTAACGTTAATTTCTTTTCAGTTTACACAACCAGTTTTACACTCCATTGGCTGTGAATGAAAATGTAGGCAGCAGACACACCAAGTAGTTATTATCACTGAGTTCCCTATATCATACAGGAAAAGTACATTTATATGCCATACAGAAAATGTAACACACATAAAGAACCACTTAGCACTTTCGAGAACATATCTGACATATGGGTTAGCTTAAATATTTTTTAGTAGAGTTAGACCCCCACGTACAGTGCATACATGCACATGAATTATCAGAACAATTCCTTATGCTGATGAGTGAGCATCTCTCTTCTTTGTGTATGATGGTAAAGATCAGACTTTATAAAACTTTTCCCTTTTTGTTAGAATTCTAAATCTTGAAACAATTAAACCATTCTTAGAGTTCTTCAGATAAAGTTACATTCTAGAAAACATTTTTCTAAAGCCTTATTTTACATTTACATTTATGTTTCATCCTGAGACTCTTTTCTTGAAGTTTGTGTTGTTATTCTCTGTTCTAGGTCCATGGTGAAGTGGGGGAGGGGTGGGGACTTTTCTTTATTTCTGTTTTCTCTGTGAATTCTGTTTTCTGTAGGCTCTACCATGTAAATTGTGTGTGTGTGTGTGTGTGTGTGTGTGTGTGTGTGTGTGTTTCCTGAGATCGAGTTTCACTCTTGTTCCCAGGCTGGAGTGCAGTGGTGTGATTTTGGCTCCCTGCAGCCTCCACCTTCTGGGGTTTAGCGATTTTCCTGCCTCAGTCTCTCCCAAGTAGCTGGGATTACAGCTATTTGCCACAACGCCTGAGTAATTTTCTATATCTTTAGTAGAGATAGGGTTTTGCCATGTTAGCCAGGCTGGTGTTGAACTCCTAGCCTCAGGTGATCCACTTGTGGATCCCAAAGTGCTGGGATTACAGGTGTGAGCCACCACACCCAGTGTGGTGTATTTTTAAAAATATGTACAATACTTGTTAGATTTTTTCTCATTGTAATATTTTATGGCATTTAAGAAATATAAAAATATAGTGTATAGTTTATATGGATACTGGCCTAAGCTTGAGAGAGTAGTAATAAGAGCTAATGCAGATGTGAAATAATAGGGAAGTAAATATAATTTAATTGATATATAAAGCATAAAGAGCACAGGAAAATTTTTTTGGTTTTTGTTTTTTTAAAATATTGTAGCAGCATTTATTTTGCATGCTATATTAAATCAGGACATTTTAAAAAGAAAATGTCCTAGCTTTTTCCTTTAGTGAAACAAAACAATAAGAAATTATATGTTTAAAAGTGTTTGTTTCCTCAGATATTTAGTTTTTCTCTCTTGTTAATATACTAACATAGCCTCTATCTCTCAAACACCACAGAATATTTAAAAATTATTTTTCCTTGCAGTACATTCTAAGATCCTGCTTGTTTAACAATGTTGGGCAAAGTTTTTGCAAGTACCCTCTTTATGGCCTGTGTTCTCCTTTTTTTGAGTTACTCCTTCCCAACTGGAACTATCTTATATAGTCGTTCATTTTATTTTCCTTTAGTTAATTTTCTCAGGTGTATTTATAGATTTTGTTAGTGCAGTTTAATTTTTAGTCTCTGCTCTTTATTCTTCCCTTTGTTTTCAAGATTTTAAATCATTACATCTTCACGGAGAACTCTAAAATCTATAGCTCTACATTTGACCTCATTTTTATGTTTCCATTTCTCTGTCCCCTCACAGTGAATGTCTGGAACCAGAAGTATCTTCTTGCCACTGACCTGTTTGCTGCAATCAGATCCAGCCATTCTTTGTTCCCTCCTATTAGCCTCCAGGCTCTTTATCTTAGATCTAAGAATTCCTTGTCTTGTTCTCTCTTACCCGTGATATTCTCATTAGTCAATGTCTCTTAGTGGTTTTTGCTTCTGCCAGTTCTATACCATTCTCAAAAGCCTAGATGACTCCTTTGCAGCCTTATTCCTGGAATATTTTAGAAGTCTCTTAATTTGTATTCCTGCTGTACTCAAAATCTGTCCTATGCATTGTTGTCAGATTAATCTTCCTATAGCATTGCTTTTACCCAGATGATCTCCTACTTAGGAACCTTCATTGGCCCCACTTTGCCTAGAGGTTGCAATTTAGAATTTTCAGCCTGGTATTTAAGGTTCCCTCATACATTTTTCCTAACGTACAGCTTTAGTTTTTTTCCTCCTGTGGCCAGTAACAAAAATGCTTTCACTTCTGTCGGGATAGTCCCAACAGACTGAGAATATTTTTACATTGGCATATCCTTCTTTATTTCACAGTGTTTTATGTCTTTTCTACATTTTGCTCTGTGATGTCCTTTCTACTTTTTTTTGTCCACCTAAAGCTTACATACTTTTTCCAACTTGCAGCTGTCTTGCTACCTCTGTGAAGTCTTTCTGCAGTGGTTCTGCTGTGATTTCACCATCTTCTGAATTGCTGCTTTGCTTTGTTGCTACTCACAAAGCACTTTCTGTTCAATATTTTGCACAATTACTTGCTTTTATTTTTTGCATGGGTCTAGGTCCTATGTTGCTGACTAGATTATAAGTGTTAAGCAAGCAGGGACCGTGTTGTATTTCTTTACATTTTTCCTAGTCAAGAAATGCCCACTTATTTTTTTTTCCCCATAAGGTTGTCTACACTCAAGTACCATTGATAAAAAGTTAAATAAGAAAGGTATGGATTCAGCTTTCATGGACTTTATATTCTGGAAGAGAGAAAAAGATGTTCTGCAGCTAATTTCATAATTACCTACTTATTTACAATTGAGGAATGTGGTTTGTCATTTTTTTTGACAAGTAAAAAACCTAGAAAATCGCCGCCTTTTTTCCCCTCTATCGTTGGTATTTATAATTTTTCCTCACAAATTTTGATAGGGTAAATTATTCTTGAAAGCGTGGGTTTTCAAATGGTCCAACTTAATTCTTTACTTCTAAATATGCATAATGCTGTATATCTGGGTTTAAGTTCAGTAGATAACATAATGGAAAGAATGATACATGCCTGATATTAAAATAATTGTAAATTTTGTGTCATTTATGTGATACGTAAACTCGTGAAATAATTAAAAGATAATAAAAATAATTCCAAAAGGAAGATTTTCTAAACTAAAACCATTAGGAATTGTTAGTTAATATACTAAAGCTCTCTTTTGTAGGAGAATAAGATTAGATTAAAAGACCCATTGGCCAGGCGCGGTGGCTCACGCCTGTAATCCCAGCACTTTGTGAGGCTGAGGCGGGTGGATCACGAGGTCAACAGTTTGAGACCATCCTGGTCAACATGGTGAAACCCCGTCTCTACTAAAAATACAAAACAATTAGCTGGGCATGGTGGTGCACACCTGTAATCCCAGCTACTCGGGAAGCTGAGGCAGGAGAATTGCCTGAACCCAGGAGACGGAGGTTGTGGTGAGCTGAGATCGCGCCATTGCACTCCAGCCTGGGTAACGAGCGAAACTCCGTCTCAAAATCAAATAAAATAAAATAAAAATAAAAGTAGACCCATTATTCTTAGATATGTTATTTTAGCCTCAGGATTTTTTTCTAGTAGCTTGAACAAGGTCATATATTTCATAGGTATGATTTTTGAGATTGTAATAACCATAGAAAGTTAGTGTTGAAAGAATGGCAAAATATGCAGTAAAACTAAAAATTATTATATTTGCAAATATAAACATAATTTACATAAATGTTATAGTTAGGAACATTATGAATGTAAATATGCTTTCTCTGTTTTTCATCTTTTAATGCCCAATTCTTTGTCCAGTTATAGATGAAGAATGATATTGAGATGGCTGTTTAAGCTATTACAACAGCTTTATGAAAGTTAAATGTCATTGATGTAAATATGAGGAGAGAAGAGAATATTTATCTCCACTAAGTGACATGCAAAACCATGGTAAGAATAACAGGCAGTGGGTGTACCTTAAGTAGTAAAAATTCTGAATTCAGATACTAATTATAAGCACAAGGACACTTGCCTCCCACTTACTTAACTGTTGTATATTTTCTTTAGTCAAAGTGTAATTCAGAGTTCTTGAAGTGCTGAATATGGCCTTTGTTTTTTTATTTCCCCTTAGCATATATATTAAAAAAAACAATAAGACACTTCTGCTGGACTGTGATTTTGATGGATATAGGTGGAATATTAAACCATATGCTATAAAGATAAATTCAAATGATTGCTCTTGGATTGTCTTCATTGTGTGACTTCCCTGCTTCCTACTATTAAAAACCAAATGTTTAGTAGTAAAGGTAAAATTATTTAAACATATTTGAGCACATTTTACTTGCTATCTGTGGTTTACCAAGGACTTTAAGTCTTAGATTTTGAAAGGTTGTATTAAAACTGGTATTAAGAGTATATCTGTTTAGATTATTCTGGACTTTAAATTTTATTTTAGACATTGTCTCTGGCATCTTGTCATAAAAGTTATGTGTGGTTTTGCTTCATTAGCAGTTTTAACATTTGTAAGTATCTGAGAAGAAAACTTCCTCTGCATTTTGAACAGTGCCTTTCATTGGTGGTTTTCTAACATGTTATTCAGTTGTTGAAAGGTGTGTAGTACAGATACTCTGTTCTTAGAAAGTAATGGTCTTTTAAGTTGTAGAGTAGTAGGAAAAGTCTCATAGGCTTAAATTATTTTAAAACCTTTGTTTTTAGAAATAGAGGTATAAGAAAACCTTTTGTAATCTTGCCCTTTTTTTGTTCTTAGGTATGCTTTTTATTTAGCTTTTAGTAACTTGTAATTTAAGATCACAGTTATTAGGTGTATATCTGCATTTTATATATCACTCCCAGATGCTACAGTATTAGTTTTTATCACTGCATATTTTATGAAATGTCAGCCTTCTGTTGGCTGTTCAGGCAGCATTGTTAGTGATCAAAGACACAACATAAAGGAGAGGAATCTAAACAGTTGGCTTATCTTTGTCCTTCATTGTGACAAAAGTACTCTAAAATTACTTAATTATAAAAAGTCAAAGGCATCATGTACATGTAAAAAAATAAGTATCTTAGTGTTTAAGTGAAATAAAAACTCAATGTTTAATATCAAAAACATAGTTATAAAGAGAAATACTATCTAATTTACAAGTTTTCCTTGTTAAGGAATGAGGGTAATATGTCGTGTGTAATTTTGTGGTACTTTGCTAAAAGACAATGCTCTGCCTAGGAAAAGCCACACAGTGTTTGACGTTGTAAGAGGTTACTCAGTATAAATACTTTATTTTGTTATACAAAATATGTTCTAGAAAATTGGTTATTAGCTTTGTGCATTAAGTTGTATGTGAACCAGTTTATTTAAGTGTTTTCTTTAAGTGACTTACTTTGCATTTAAAAACTACTTCATAGTGGGAACCATTCTTTAAAAAATAAAAAATTAAAACAAAAACTTTCTTCATAGATTTAAAGATCCTTTTTTCCCTTTATTTCAGTGATATCAGTATCAAAATAAAAGTATGGAGTGGGAGAAAAATTCTCAAAGCCCGAAAGAAAATCCGTAAGAATAAAATTCTTGAATGATTTTGATCAGCTGTTGTGTATGCCCAACACAGCAGTTGGTTCAATCAATTTTATGTTTTGGGATGGTTTTATTAAAATGAGCTGCTGCTTTCAGTAAATCATTGAGAAAGATGCTGGCTTTATATATGTTTTTTTTGGTTGGGGGCAGGGCTTACAAATGCAGCCTTGTAAGTCAGTAAAATTGTAGACAGTTCCTGCCCATGAAATTCAGTGTGTTGTATGGGCATTTGGAAATAGAAGTAGAATGAAGATTTAGACTAAAAATGATTTTATATAAATGTACTTTTATAGCTCTCTGCAGGAAACTGCCATTTCTAGTAAAAAGTAATCATCAGCAGATAATAGGGATTTAAGTGTATCTTCAGTTTTGTGTACAGTTTCTGTTTTTATAAATGAATGAAAGTTAATTGTTTTCCAGCATAAGAATTAAATCTTTGGAAAGCAATTTGAAAGACATAGCCATTGGATATGAGTTAGAGGCCTCAACATTTTGTCTTGATATGCTTTATGCACTTATACCCAAACTATGTATGGTCTGTTCATAAACAGTATTGGTGTTACTTGAGAGCTTCCTAGATACGCAGAATCTCAGGCCTAATCCCATACCTGCTAAATTAGAATCTGTGTTTCATCAAAATTCCTAGGCAATTAATATGAATATTAAACTTTGAGAAGCACTGCCATGATTTAGACCTCTCATTTTCTGTGTGTATCTGTGTTTTAATTGTGGGGTGCTTATATTGGAGTTGGTCACCTGCAGTTCAAGAATTGGAAGAGGAAGTAGAAACTCACAGCAGAATTTTAGTGGGTGCCCAGGAGTAGACAGAGAGTTAATTTAGAGCTCACAGGCTTTTGGTCTTTAAGCAATTGCAGTTTGAATCAGTATCTACTTCGTATATTATATAGAAAGCTTCATGTTACCCTGGTAATATTAGTCAGTTGTTTTCCTTTGAGCATGGCAGTATCCTCTCATGTTCTCAGATACTTAACGATGTTTTGTGCCAGTCATAATGTAGTAACATTTCCAAAGTGTGTTCTATATTTTTTTCTAGGAGATGCTTGGAGTGTAAAGATCCTATCGGCACATAAATCCAGAAAGCACTGAATACTTTCTTTCCCATAAGAGAATTAAAAGACCGGAGAACCTGGTGTAATTTAGTTCAATTCAGTGTTTTCCAAATTTACTGGACTATAGCATCCTCTGTTTTTTTTTTTTAAACAATCTTTAAATTTTTTTTAAACATGTGCACAAACTGACTTCTTTCCACATTTATTTATCTTAGTCAAAATAAGAGATATGGACAACTTCTGAAATGGTCATGATGTTATGACACATAAAACATACTTTCTGGTATTTCTGCATATAAATGGCACTGGTGTAGCTCTTGTGTACTGAAGGAGCTAAACATGCAGACATTTTTGAGAATTGGAGTAACTGAGAAGTCGTAATTTAGAACAGGAGTCCCCAGTTCCCCGGTCATGGACTGGTACTGATCCATGGCCTATTAGGAACCAGGCCGCACACCAGGAGGTGAGTGGTGAGCAGGTGAGCAGGTGAGCATTACCACCCGAGCTCCACCTCCTGTCAGATCAGCAGCAGCATTAGATTCTTGTAAGCACACAAACCCTATTGTGAACTGTGCATGCAAGGGATCCAGGTTGCGCATTCCTTATGAGAATATAATGCCCGATGATCTGAGGTGGAACAGTTTCATCTTGAAGCCATCTCCCCCCAGCTCTCTCCTGATTCGTGGAAAAATTGTCTTTCATAAAACCAGTCCCTTGTGCCAAAAAGGTTGGTGACTGCTGAATTAGAAAGTGAGCATTGAACTGATTCCAGTCAGATTTGATGGATGAATGAAAGGGAGAAAATTGACTATTCTTAGTGTTTGCTGGAAAGAGGAAAACTATGAGCAATGGAATAAATTAAACATTTCAGTTGAATAAATGTTTACTGAATTGCTAATAAAGAATAGGCTCTGTACTTGGCCTTCGGCAAATAGTAGTGAAAAATATACAGTCTGCCCTCTAGTTGCTTATTGGAGTGAGCATAGTACATTCTGATAAATGTACAAGAGCTGGAATGCAGAACATAGGATTTTCCTTGTGGATTTGTTAAAAGAAAAAAAAAAAGTTGGCCAGAATACTATGTCCTGGAGTGCTAGAGACAGGACATAACTGTAGTGATAGACGTCTCTGGTTAAGGGAAACAGGAAGGGACAATGTTGGGGCAGAATTTCAAAAAGTAAAATTAGGAAGACCAAACAGCCTTGGAAGACCTAGAGCTTTTGGTACCTAGTTGCCCAGATTTGGTTAGTTGAAGTGCATGACAGTCCTCCATCACATAGTTGAGACTTCCTTAATTTCTGCCCAAAGAAGTTGTTACAGGGTTATCTTTTATCCGTTCTACCCCAGCTCTTGAAGCAGCCATTTTTCTGAGGAACTCTGATTATTTTTAGAGGGGAATAATAGTAACGATCAGCGTCTTGGCGCTAGTGTGCTGATTGCTACTGGGTTTTGGCTTTTAGGCCCTTTTAGAGGACAGAGGTAGGAAATATATAAGCTTTATGTATACATATACATCTACATTTATATATATATACACACACACATACATACACACATACACAAATGCATCTTGCAACACATCTTTGGACATAAACATCTGCAAATTTTTATTATTTAGAGATACACCAGTATCTCTAATTCTAAGCCATTTACACAGGTTTCTTTCTTACTTGCTTTCATATTTATATGTCCCTTCTTTCACAGTGTGAACCTTGGCTTCCAGTGGCATCAACACATTTATTTTTTTGTTCATCTAAATAATCTAAAACAGTTTCAAGATTGTTTAATCATATCACTATAAGAACAAATATACCAAAAAAAGTTTGAAATTTGTTTGAAATTCTCCCTCCTTTCTGTACTCAATTCTTTGGGTATGTAACCAAATACTGTTCTCATAATTACTTAGCTCATTCTTTCTTACGCCTTAAGTGTGGCTACGTATTAATTTGAAATACAGTTCACTTATAGTTTTCTTTCAGCTTTTGTGCCCCCTTTTTGTTACATTTCTGTTGATTTAATTTTTTGACTGTGTAGAAGATTATTTTCCAAAAAGTGAAACTGTACAAAAAAGGATACTCAGAAAATTGTCACTCCCTCCTCCCGATTCCACCCCATACTTTGTAGGAAACCAATTTTATTGTTTTCTGGGCTTTACTCATTTTTATAAAGATATGCAGAGATATTTATATTTTCTTATTTTCCTTTGTTATCTAAAATGTAGAATATATGTTCTTTTGCAATTCACTTTTTTCATGTATCAGTATCTCTTGGAAATTACCTCATAACAGTTCATAGAGATTTTCCTCATTCGTTTTTACAGGTGCTTATTACTTTGTGTGTACCATTGTTTGTTCAACCAATCTCTTATGTTTTCACATTTAAGTAGTTTCCAGTATTTTACAACTACAAATCTGCTGCAATGGTATGTATTTTTCATAGTTTTACAGTTGTATATTCAGGGCAAATTCTTGCAAGTGGGATTGCTGGTTGACAGGGCAAATACTAAGCCTGGTGTGGTGGTTTGCACCTGTAATCCCAGCTACTTGAGAGGATCCCTTGAGCTCAGGAGTTCAAGGCTGCAGTTAGCTATGATGGAGTCATTACTTTCCAATTTGGGTGACAGAGTGAGACTTTGTTGCTAACAAAAACAACAAAAAGGAACAAAGGGAAAATACCTGGTTTTATTAGCATATTGCCGGGTTCCCTGCATGGGGGTTATAACATTTTGCCTCCCCACCTGCGATGTAGGAGAGTGCTGTTTCCCTACAGCCTTGCAAACAGGGTGCATTTTGAAACTTGAATTTTTGCCAAGTGATACGTGAGAAATGGTATTTTGGGTACATTTAATTTGCATTCATCTCTTATGTGTGGAGTTGAATGTCTTTTCATATGTATAGGAGCCACTTTCCATAGGATATTTGGGCTTCCCCCTCTCAGTTTTAGAAGTTCTTTGTAGGGATATTAGGAATTTAACTATGATACATGTTGCAAATGTTTCCTTCCAGTTTGTTACCTGTTTTTTGATTTTGCTTATGATGCATTTTTGTCATACAAAAGTTTTATAGTTGTACTTTAGTCCTAGTGAGAAAGTCTTTCTTTTATAAATTCTTAGTTTATAGGCAGAATCCCTCTCTCCTGCCTCCCCGCCAATTTTAAAAAGTACTAGTAGTTTTCTTACAATTAGATCTCTGATCCATTTGCAGTTTATTTTTATGTATGGTGTGAGAAACATTGAATTGTATCTTTTTGTCTATTCATTTGTTTAAAATGACTATAACTATGCTAATGATTTTTTATATCACCTTTACAGATACTAGATTTCTATCTGTAGTGGAATCTATTTCTGGATGTTCTGTTCAGTTGCACTGTTCTGCCTCTTCATGTAGCAGTCCTATACTATTTTCATTATAGAAGCTTTATAGTATGTTTCAACGCCTGTAGTATGTGTTAATGAGGTAGTCCCCTCATATCTATTTATTTTAAGTGTTTCCCAGTTTTTCTAACTTTCCTTTTCTATTTGAACTTCAGTAACAACTTGTCTAGCTCCATCAAAAGCTTTATGATTGTAAGTTTATGACCTGTTGATGTTGAGATGTCCTAGATAGGTAGGACATCTCAACATCAATAATCTGTCATTGGTTATTTCTTTTCAGTTGTACAGTCCTATTTTTCTATGTTTTAAGAATGTTTTATTTATTTATTTATTTATTTATTGGGACGGAGTTTTGCTCTTGTTACCCAGGCTGGAGTGCAATGGCGCGATCTCAGCTCACCACAACCTCTGCCTCCTGGGTTCAAGCAATTCTCCTGCCTCAGCCTCCCGAGTAGCTGGGACTACAGGCGCGCACCACCATGCCCAGCTAATTTTTGTATTTTTAGTAGAGATGGGGTTTCGTCTTGTTGACCAGGATGGTCTCCATCTCTTGACCTCGTGATCCACCCACCTTGGCCTCCCAAAGTGCTGGGATTATAGGCGTGAGCCACTGTGCCCAGCCAAGAATGTTTATTTTTCTTCATGTAGGTTTTGAACATTTCTGTTTATTCCTTAGTATTTTACTTTTGAAAATTACTATTTAAAACGGGGCTTTCTCATCAATTATATATTCTATTTAACTGTTATTTGTACATAGAAGTGGAACTGATTTTTTTCATGTTGATTTTGTATCCTACTACATTGCTGAATTATTTTGTTTCTTGAGTTTTATTTTCAGTTTTCTAGGATTTTCCACATATTCCCTCAGGTCATCTGAAAATAGTTTTATTTCCTCTTTTCTAGTTCTTTTGTGTATAATTATTTTCACTACTACTTTTTTTTTGAGACAGGGTTTTCTTCTTGTCACCCAGTCTGGAGTACAATGGTGTGATCCCCGTTCACTGCAACTCCGCCTCCTGGGTTCAAGTGATTCTCCTGCCTCAGTCTCCTTAGTAGCTGGGATTACAGGTGCACGCCACCATGCCCGGCCAATTTTTGTATTTTTTTAAATTAGAGACTGAGTTTCACCATGTTGGCCATGCTGGTCTCAAACTCCTGACCTCAGGTGATACACCCGACTCGGCCTCCCAAAGTGCTGGGATTATAGGATTACTGGTGTGAGCCACTGTGCCTGGCCTAAACTAGTTTTCTTTCTTTTCAATTCTTTTTTCTTTTTTTGAGACAGAGTCTTATTCTGTCACCCAAGCTAGAGTACAGTGGCATGATCATGGCATACTATAGCCTAGACCCCTTGGGCTCAAGTGATTCTCCCACCTAAGCCTCCCTATTAGCTGGGACTACAGGCACACACCACCACACCCAACTAATTTTTGTGTGTTTTGTAGAGATAGGGTTTCACCATGTTGCCCATGGCCTCCCAGTGTGCTAGGATTAGGGGAGAGCCACTGTGTCCTGCCTTCTTTTCAATTATTATTTGTTAATGTTTTCAATGTTTTCTCTAGTCTAATTGTGTCAATAAATATATTGAGAATAGAGTGGTATTGGGCATCTTGCCTTGTTCCTGAACTTAGTGAGGATGAATAATGTTTAGTGAGAACTGTCAATGGGAGAAAGATAGAACTACTTGAGATAATGCATTATTTATTCTTAGTGCTTTATAGGCATTATAACAGAATCATCTATATTATTTCTCTTTCTTTTTACAGCCAAATTTTTTGAAGGCGTACTTTCTACCTGCTAACTTTTCACCTTCATTTTCTTACCTTCCTTAAACCATACCAGTTACTCCTTAAACCGTACCAGTCCACTCTGGTTTCTCAGTTGTCCAAGCAGGTACTAACTGAAGTTGCTAAATCTAATGGACCTTTTTTTCCCCCTATTTTCTTTCTTTTTTTTTTTTTGAGACAGAGTTTCACTCTTGTTACCTAGGCTGGACTGCAATGGTGCGATCTCGGCTCATCGCAATCTCCGCCTCTTGGGTTCAGGCAATTCTCCCGCCTCAGCCTCCTGAATAGCTGGGATTACAGGCACGTGCCACCATGCCCAGCTAATTTTTTGTATTTTTAGTAGAGACGGGGTTTCACCATGTTGACCAGGATGGTCTCAATCTGTTGACCTCGTGATCCACCCGCCTCGTACTCCCACAGTGCTGGGATTACAGGCTCGAGCCACCGCACCCTGCCTCCCCCTATTTTCATCTTACTTTTCCTCTTAATATTATTCAAATTGCAGAGCTTGCCTTCAGCTACGTATGCATTTTCTTCTTAGCTTCTGTCACATCACATTCTTCAGGTTATTTCTGCTTAGTCTTCTCCATTAGTTCTTTCTTCTCTGCTTAACTTCTAACATTGGCATATTCTAGGTCTCTTAAAATTCTGTTCTGTCTTCTTTTAAACTCTATTTGTTGTAGATATTTAAACAAATTTGAGGCTTAAAGTATCATCTATATTACATTTATTCTAAGAGTGACATCTTTAGTCAGGACTTGCTGAAATCAGGATTTATGTCTGCCTATCTGCTATCCATTTTCACTTTGAGATGTCAAAGTCACTTTACAATGTAAGTTCTAATCCCTCCCCAAACACCTCCGGTTTTTAGTATCATCATGTAATCCAGTGGATAAGCTAGAAATTTAAGATTCATGTTTGTTTTCTCTTTTTCATTCATCATCTTTATAAACTTCATTATTAAGTTCTATTGAACTTCTCTTTCCATTCCCTCCAGTTTTCTCTAGTTTTATTGATTGATTGAGACAGAGTTTTGCTCTTATTGCCCAGGCTGGAGTGCAGTGGCCCTGTCTTGGCTCACTGCAACTTCCACCTCCTGGGTTTAAGCATTGCTCCTGCCTCAACCTCCCAAAAATCTAGGATTACAGGCATCTGCCACCTTGCCTGGCTAATTTTTGTATTTTTAGTAGAGATGTGGTTTCATCATGTTGGCCAGGCTGGTCTCAAACTCCTAACCTCAGGTGATCCACCTGCCTTGGCCTCCCAAAGTGCTGGGATTACGGGTGTGAGCCACCACGCCTGGCCCAATTTTCTCTAGGTTAAAAAGGAGACTTTCTGCTGGAAGAAACATCATGACTTATATGTCTCTATGTGTTCTACCAATTACAGCCATCTTTACATAGAGATATACAAGTAAGATTAGAATTAACTTTAACTATCTTGTTAAAGGCACTGATTGCAAGAATAACAAATTTGGGTGGTCACTGAGTGCTTAATAGTAAGTGAGATCATATTACTTTTGCAGCACTTAATAACGTTGAAAAAGTGGGAAGAGGCTGAGTGCAGTGGCTTATGCCTGTAATCCCAGCATTTTGAGAGGCTGAGGTGAGCATATTGCTTGAGCCCAGGAGTTTGAGACTAGCCTGGGCAACATGATGAAACACTGTCTTTACAAAGCATACACAAAAATTAGTCATGCATGGTGGAGCATGCCTATAGTCCCAGCTACTTGGGAGGCTGTGGTGAGAGGATCACCTGAGCTGGGGAGGTTGAGGCTGCAATGAGCCATAATCACGTCACTAAACCTAAGAAAGTGCCTGTAGATCCTCCTGGGTATCCTAAAGGGATGATCATGTCAGAAAATATGGCAACTTTTCCCCCCTTTTTGCTCATTATGTATTTTGTTTCTTTTTTTCATCTCACCGTGCTATCTTGAAGTTTTAATATGGTTGAGTAAAAGTGATGACAATGAGCATCTGTGTCTTATTCTTTTCCTTTTTTTTTTGGGTGGGGAGATGGAGTCTTGCTCTCTTGCCCAGGCTGTAGTGCAGTGGCAAGATCTTGGCTCACTGCAGCCTCCACCTCCCAGGTTCAAGCGATCCTCCTGCCTCAGCCCCCCAGTAGCTGGGATTGTAGGCACTTGCCACAATGCCTGGCTAATTTTCGTATTTTTAGTAGAGACAGGGTTTTGCCATGTTGGCCAGGCTGGTCTCGAACTCCTGTTTAAAGAGCAGTGCTTCTAATGTGTCACCATTGTATATT